ACAGTATGGACTCAACCTAAGTATCTACCAGCAAGTGAATGGATAAAGACAACGTAGCATATAGATATAATGGAATATTGTTTGGTCACAAGAAAGGTTTAAATCATTTCATTTGTGACAACATGGTTGAACCTAGAGGACATTATGTTAGATTAAACAAGTCAGGCACAGAAAGAAAAACTGTACAATCTCAACTCCTATGTGGCATCTAACAAAGCCGATCACACAGAAATTTTGAGTAGAATAGTGATTATTGGAGAGTGGGAGAGGGAAGGGGAGAGGGAAGGGGTAGGAATTATAAGGAAAAGTTAGTTAACGGGTAAAATGTTGGACAGGCGGAACAAGTTCTGGTGTTCTATGGCACAACAGGGTAACTACAGTTAACATAATACCCTGGGTATTTATTTTATAGTATCTAGAAAAGAGTTTTAAAGAGTTAGTACCCCAAAGAAATAATAAATGTTTAGGGAGTGTATATGTTAATTACTCTAATTTGATCATTGTACAATGTATATACATATTGAAATACCACACTGTACTCTATAGCTAGGTACAATTATGTATCAATAACAACACTTTGGTAGGCTGGCATTGTGGTGTGGCAGGTTAAGATGCATCTTGTGATGCACCTTGTGCTGCTGCTCTACTACCAGTCCAGCTCCCTGGGAATGTGCCTGGGAAAGCAGCAGATGATGGCCCAAGTAGTTGAGCCCCTGCCACCCACATGGGAAACTGGCTCCTGGCTTGGCCTGGGCCAGCACCAGCCATTGTGGTCATTTGGGGAGCGAACCAAATGTAGAGGAAAGCTCTCTCTCTTTCTCTCTCTCTCTCTCTGACTCTTCTTCTCTGTCACTCTGCCTTTCAAATAAAAAAAAAAACTTTTTAAATTAATGTACAACTTTGAAAACCAGTTCTATCCCATTGCCTGTCTCTCTCCTGCAGATATATCTAGTTATATATATATAGTTATATATATGTATATATATATATAGTTATATATATACTGACTGCCTCCTTTACCAGGTGTTTTATGAAACCTTCAGATTAACCAAGGAGTTTGCTGATATGGGCACCACATACTCCCTCATCGCCTGGTCCTATCTGAATGCTTTACTCTATTAACATAAACTGCTTCTTGTTTCTTGAACTCACTGCTCTGTCTCTGGCCTCTGTATCTTTGTCAGAACATCTTCCCTGACTTCACCCAACTCTAACTACATGGATTCTTTCAGAGGACATGAGCCACTCCTCTGGGAAGCATCCTTCTCTACTCCCCACCTCCCACTGCTTACTACCACTTGGGTGCCCCAGCTTTATACTTCCAGAAAGCCCCATACATCTACCTTTACAGGATAGCAGGTGTCATATTCTAATATTGTTTTCTGTTCCATGCAGTTTCCCCAACTATACCCTTAACTACTGAAGACATGGATGGGTCTCACACACCCTTACATTCCTCAAAGTTTCTAGAGCAGCTACCCTAGCTTAAAAGACCCAGTAAGCACACATGAATTAGCCACATGCTTTGGCAAAACAATAAAGATGGCTGAGAGGAGAAACAGATTATCCTAATCCCAAAACACGTTAGATTAAAACTGACATTAGGGATACTGCTTATGTTCAATTTATGCAAATCACATTTCTCCCAATTACTATGGCTCCAGAGAACACTGGCAGCTAATGGAATTACTTATTTATAACAGTTACAATTTCTTTTAACCAGAAATTCCCATAAGGGTAGCCTGGACTGTCCAGCTTTCTTCCCTGATTCATATTTCATAAGACTAGCAGACCATCAAATGTACTTCATAGCTGAACACAATTCTGAAGGGAAACTAACATCAAACCAGCATGTGAGTCATGCCTTAAAGCACATTACAAACATCCCAAACCAAACCCAAACAAAAAAGACCCAACAATTCTGAACAAAAATCCTTGACTAACAAAGTGTTATCAGAAGCACTGCTTTGAAGGGAAATGGTCCAAAGGTAGCCAGAGCATGATTTTATGTGTACAGAAGCAAAGGGTAAGAAATTTCTTTGGCAGCTTTTGTTATTGTGGAATCTTACACAGTTTCCAGATTCCTTTTTTTTTTTTTTTGACAGGCAGAGTGAGTGGACAGTGAGAGAGAGAGAGACAGACAGAAAGGTCTTCCTTTACCGTTGGTTCACCCTCCAAGGCCACTGTGGCAGGCGCGCTGCAGCTGGCGCACTGCGCTGATCCGAAGCCAGAAGCCAGGTGCTTCTCCTGGTCTCCCATGCGGGTGCAGGGCCCAAGTACTTGGGCCATCCTCCACTGCACTCCCAGGCCACAGCAGAGAGCTGGCCTGGAAGAGGGGCAACCTGGACAGAATCCGGCGCCCCAACCGGGACTAGAACCCGGTGTGCCGGCGCCGTAAGGCGGAGGATTAGCCTATTGAGCTGTGGCGCCAGCCCTCCAGCTTTCCTTGTGTGTGGTTTGAAATGTTCCTATCTCAAACTGGTGACGGGCTGGCTTCCATGTTCTTTTCTTTCTGGAAACTGGGACATACCTGAGGACTATTGGTAGCTTAAAAAAATGTCTTTAAGATTCTATTCCACTTCTTGTTTGCCTTTAGCAAACCCCATTCATTTATTCAACAAATAGAAATTGAGGATCTTCTGTTGTAGAGTCTTCTACAGTCTTCCCTGATAGAGCCCATATTTTGGTGCCTACATCTCCCAAGAAATCACACTAAAGATGGGGATGCCCTAATAAACAGCAAAGCCAAAATGCAAAGTGGAAGCTCTGAAGTTATCCAAGTGTCACAATTTACTCCATTAACAAATTCAGCTAATTCCACTATCTGCACAATGCCTATAAATTATACTTCTTAATGTCTCAGAATATCTTATTTTATGTTCTCCTTCTCTTCTCCCTCTGCTTCAAAGGATCAGTTTTAACTGGATAGGATGCATTTTAGTTGTTGAATACAGCTACAGACACTAAATAAGCAGGGAATGGGGACACAGTCTTACCCAAAGACACAAGAGTCCCACACAACAAAGAGATGTCCCATTCGGTGCCCTCACCAAGAAACACTGCTGTCCTTTATACTATGCTCAATTTAATATAAATTCAGTTCAGTGGAGTTACCAAATGCCTCCTGGGTGCGAGGCAAAGCGCCAGGAGATAGAGAATGGATGAAGACAAAATTACCTGTCTACACAAAGCTCCTAGTTGAAGAAAAGTCACCTAAAGAGCCAGAAGGAGCCGAAGATACATTAACAACCACTGTCAGAGAGATCTCACAGAGAAAGCTCTTCCTTTAATGTGGGGAATCGGGGAAAACTTCACCGAGGAGACAGGGTTTGAGAAGACCTTGAAAGGCAAATGATCTTAGATGGTAGAAACAGCAGCAGGGAGAGGAAGGACAAATGGGCAGAGGCAGTATCCTTCACCAAGACATGCATAGTAAACAGTAACAAAGCTTTTTAAACCAGCTACTCTAAGATGGACTTCTGGGGAGCATCCTCTTTGTGATGAGAGGACGTCTTGCTCAGCACCATGGAGGAAAACACCTGCATCTGTAGGGCCTGACACTGAGAGGAATGATGCGTCGCAGGCAAGACAAAGGGTGTGCAGGCAAGACAAAGGGTGTGCTTGTTGATCCAGAGGTAGAGAAAGATGTGAGAGTGAGCAAAGCACAGAGCACATTTGTTTCAACCTAACAAAAACCAGTCAAGGACCATAACTTGCAACCAGACTATATATATATATATATATATATATATATGTAAATACATATATATATATATATAATTCTTGGTTGTTTCTAAAAACTCCAACCATCTCTCATAGTTTTTCTGTTTGTCAAGCTCCCTGTTTTGTTCTTTAATTTACTACCACATCATCATCACCGTCATCATCAATTCGCTCTGACCACCAAACTAATATTGTGGATACATAGTGGCTCCCTTGTCTTATCTGCCTTGAAGTCATTTATGGCCCCAACAAAAATAAATAAAAATTCTCCACATAAGTGACAGATATCCCAGTGTACTTATTTAGTACACTAGCCCTAGAAACTGGAAATTTAGAAAGTCATTGTCTTAAGAGGCAGTGTATTTGGTTGCAAAATCAGTTTACAGGGAGTTTTGTCAAAGCCAAATCCCTGTCTACATAAAATATGGCATCTCTGAGTTTAGGTTTTATTGGCTGAGTGCTACATAAATGCAATAAAAGCTTATGATATTCTGTTTCCCTTGCAATAAACATCAACTTTAGCAAATTGGAGGGGAGAAGGGAACTGAGTTGTAGGAACAGAAATCAGCATGTGTAGTCCCTGTGCAAAGCACAGGCGGGCTCTGCTTCAGGAACCCACGAGCAACCCATCTGCAGCTGCCTCACAGGTCTCAGGCTTCTGTGATGGTTCTTCACCAAAGGGGCTGATCTGACTGCAAACCTGGAAGCACCCCGGGCCAACTCATTGCTGGTAGTGATACTTCCTGCCTGTTACTGTCTTTGCATCTTTGCTATAGGTGCTGATGGGTCTACAAAGTCTGCCTTGAAGCAGTGAAATCTGTCTTCTTATCATGAAAATAAAAATGTGATTCACCTTCAAAAAGCAGCCTTGAGAGAGAATAAGCCTTGCAATCCCATTCACAAGCTGGGCTGTCTTGCTTGCCCACAGAAGTATCATCTTTTTCAGGGATATGAGAGGCTGCAGAGCTGCTGCTACTGGGGAGATGTAATGACTTCTATGTGTGTGTGTGTGTCACACACCTTTCCCTTACATATACGGGAGTGAACTGTTATCATCCAGAAATATGGTGACCATTCCCCAAAACTCAGCCCATCTATAGTTTAGGAGAAGTAATGATTTGCCACTGGGTTGAGGTGACTGTCTTATCAATCTTCTCATTGGCAGAAGGATAATGAAAAATCGCACCTCAAGCAGAACTGGTTTTAGAGATGGGCCACACTGAGAGGGTGTTTGATGGGAAAAGAAGCCAGGTACTTGGAAGCACCCATTTCCTTACCTCTTCTCCCGCCTCGATGTCTCGGACTGCACGCAGTAAGAGGTGGGGCCCATTGAACACAATCGAACAGTTGGGGTCACAGCTGTGATTGAGCAGTGACATACTGGAGGAGAGAAAAGAGATAAGGAGGACATCATGGCTCAGCATACAGAATCAAACAACTAAATTTAATAAGTGCAATAGGCAAAAAGACATTTCAGATTAGTGGGACCGAGGCTGGCAAAGTAGACAGGATAGCAGGGATTGAGCACTCTGGGTACCTTCACAGTTGTGCACCAACAGACTTCTTATGAAACGCTCCCCAGGACGAAGGCTAATTAGTAAGCTTATTCATAAAAACATTTTCTGAGTCCTTTCTGAAGGTGAGGGTGGGGTAGTAGTTGTCTTATTAGATATCAGCAAATAGGGCAACCAAACATGAAGATCGAAGAAAACCCGAGTTGCAAGGAAATAATCTCTGAGATAATGGGATGCGTCAGCCAACACAGCAGCCAAGCTAACAGGACAGGGGCTCATTTGCTAAGGAAACGCTGCCTCTGCTAGAACATTCACACTGAAGAATAATTAGGAGAGCTTTCTCTTAGGTGGAAGGCTGAGACTGTCTTGCTAACTAAATCGTGATGCATTCTGGGCCAAAGTCCAGTTATTTTATTACCTTGGAGGAACTTTTTTTTTTTTTAACCATCTGGGAAATGGAATGGATTTAAGCAGTTACCATAAGTGAATAATAATTAAAATGAGCACTTACTATGCAGAAAGCACTTTCTTAGCAGTGGATCATGTTTATCAAATTTGATCACAATAACCTTATGAGGATCATTTATACCGGTAAATGAAAAAATGATATATAGAAGTTAAATGATTTGCCCAAGGATACACAACTAGTAAGTGGTAAATGAATTTAAATCAGGCATCCTGAGCTCAGAGCCCATGCTCTGAACCATCTTCTGTTACTGCTTCTTTTTTTTAATTTATTTTATTTATTTGAAAGAGTTACAAAGAGAGGTAGAGAGAAAGAAAGAGAAAGAGAGAGAAGGAGAGAGGGAGGGAGAGAGGGAAAGAGAGAGAGACAGAGGGAGGAAGGGACAGTGACAGTCTTCCATCTGCCAATTCACTCCCCAAATGGCCACAAGCCAGTAGTTTCTTCTGGGTCTCCCATGTGGGTGCATGGACTGATGCACTTGGGCCATCCTCCGCTGCTTTCCCAGGTGTACTAACAGAGAGTTGGATTGGAAGTGGAGCAGCCAGGACTTAAATGGGGGCCCAAATGGGATGCTGGGGTTTTAACCCACTTGCCACAGCATCAGCCCTGTTACTGGTTTTTGAGAGCTATTACCAACACTCTTGAGCTATAGCTAATATACCTTTGTGAGAAATAAGAAGCTGAATGTTCAGACTCTCAACTAAGTATAAAGAAAGACTACATTAGTGTTTGGGCCCTAATGGCATGAAGACAACAAGAAACTATGTGTGCCTGAAGCACGTGCGGAGGACAGGCTATTAGCTCAGTGATGAAGTTCAGCTCAGCAATACTTTGAGACAGCTTTTTGGAGGGCCAAGCCCTGCATTTTCCTGGCTCTGCGCTTAGAGTAAGTGAAATTAAAAGATAAAATGAACTCATTGGTGCAGTTCAGCAAGGCTGGAGAAATAATCATGTGTTTCATCCCTGGAGGTCGAGGAGTAAGACCAGGTAGGGGTGCAGGAATAACCAAATCTCAGCCCGACAGCTAATCAGCTCCAGCAAGTCTCAACTTCCTACACTCAAATCCTCCTGAGAACAAGAATTTAGGTCTGAGGTCTGCCTCTTTGCTAATAGCCCAGAATACAATGTAGGGTTATAAAACCATTTAAACTTAAACATTTTTTATATTTTCTTAAAATTTAGCTTGGCTGTATAAACAGTGGCTGCAATAGCATTTCCAACTACCTCAAAAAGTGTGGGGGCTGAGTGGGAACTAAAGTTGTGTCTTCCAGTAAATGAAAATACCATTCACCATACCTAGGATATAGGCCAACACCAACTTCCTGCATCTCTGCATTACAGATGGTGAAAGAGTTGCAGATCACCTGCAAAAACAAGAAGGAGACAATCAGCATTATTAAGAGTCACTGAAGGAACTTTGTAGGCAAGAGGATAAAACTTTTCAAAGTAAAATGCAGGGGACGTTAAGTAGCTTCTCTGGAGAGAGTCAAGTGAAATGCAGGGCTCTTTGGTTTGTTAAGGGACTTATTTGGGACATGTTCCCCTTAAGAATATCAGGTGGTTATGTGCAGCAGTAACAACATCCTGGGAGTGGGGGGAGGGAGCAGCCTAAACAAGCCCAAGAAATATTAATTTCAGTCCCATCATCTCCTGATACCAAAGCTACACAGTTACATGAGATGTCTGAAATTCAGCATATAAATAAGCTATTTATTGGAAACTAGATTCCTACTATATCATGAGGTTTTCAAATTGCCTGCAGTTTCCAAATGTCACTGTATCTCTAACGAGGAACAGCAGCCTTTTCTTCCCAAAGACGGAAGTACGTCCTGAGCAAGTTTGTGGTTCAAGTTCATAACCTACCACAAGGAGCTTGGGAAGTATTCACTCAAGCTACGACACTCACCACACACACGGAGACCCCTACTATGCATATGGCATGGTCCTCCACCCTCAGGGGTCAAAAGGCCAGGACAAAAGAAGTAAAAATGCAATACTGTGCTCAAGGAAATGAAATGTTTCATTTATGAAATAGGGTGATATATGAAAGGCTACACAGAGTCATGGCAGGAGCACTGGACATGAAATGAGAAATCGAGGTCCTGGCTACACACACGTCATTGTCCCCAGTAGGTACTGGATATAAAACAGTGAAGAAAAAAACCAAAGTCCTTGACTTCACAGAGCTTATTCTAGCGGGCGGAGGGGGGCGGGGAGGGACCGCCCACTGATAGAAAAATGCCACATCTGGACACATACTAAGGAGAGAAAATGGCAAAGTAAAGGAACCAAAAACAAACAAAAGCAGTAAGGAAAGCTCTTCAGGACAAACTGACAAAGCAGCAACCTGAACGGACTGTGAAAATCAGTATGAGTACAAGGGTACTTTGAAAAATTCATGGAAAAATGGAATGAACAGAATTTTATTTTGGCACAAATTTTTTGAAATCTATGGATAGCTTTTTCCTAATGGCCATTCTCCATGAACTTTTTGAAGACCTAGTGTGTGTGTGTGCTTGTGTAAGTATGCATACACATAAATATACAGATTTATATATAAATATATATTAAATATATATATATATATGTACCGAGCATTCATGTCAGGAGAAAGAACATTTGCAAATGCCCCAAGATAGCAATATTCTTGGTCAGAATAATGGTAAGAAGCCTGCGGTGGCCAAAACAGAGGAGGTAGGAAGAAGAGCGGGTAAGACAGGAGGTCAGAAAGGCAGGTAGATTGAATTTGGAAAACATCATGCTGAGTGAATTAAGCCAGTCCCAAAGGGACAAATATCATATGTTCTCCCTGATAGGCGACAACTAACTCAGCACCAAAGGGGAAACTTGTTGAAGTGAAATGGACACTATGAGAAACAGTGACTTGATCAGCTCTTGTCCTGATGGTTGATGCATAGGGTTTTCAAACCATGTTTCAGTTTATTCTGGATGAGACAGAAAACCACTGGACGAGTCTGAGCCAAAGGCTGAATGAAGTCAGCCTCTGTTTTGCAAGGATGCTTGTGGTTGTTGTGTACAGAAAGAGCTTTAAGAAGGCAAAGATGGAAGGAAGCAGACGACAGTTAAGAGGTCAGTGCAATACTCTAGTGAGAGGTGATGGTGGCCTGGATGTTGGCAACAGCCGAAGTAGGGAGAAGAGTGGAGGGCAGCCAAGACTTTCTGAAGGACTGCTTATGGGGAGTGAAAAGATTTATGGACAATGGTCAAATTTTTGGCCTGAACAAGTGAAAGGTTATAGTTACCATTTATTAAGATGAGAGAAAATGTAAAAGGAACAGGGATGGTTGCAGGAAGTCGAGAAGTCCAATGGTTTTGTTTTAGTTATGTTAAACTTGAAACAGGCATGTAAGACATCCAAGCCAAGGCTAAGAATGAGCAATAGGAGTTCAGGGAAGCAATTAGGGCTGGAGATATAAATTTAGGATGAAACATAACACAACCCATCAAAAAAGAAAGCACAGGAGGCCACTACAGACTTGAGATGAACCCGTGACTACAAATGGATGCTGACTTGTTATAAAATCTCTGTAAAGGGAAAAGAAGTGAAAACAAATCCTCTAAGTCAGGTTTATATGACAGAACACACACTATGTAAAATACAGTCAGTCCTCTGAGACTGTTCTACATGAAATGTAGTGCAACCTATCATGGTTTGGCATGTTTTCTTTTAGAAATCTGATACAGCTACAGTTTCATATCAGAAAATAAATTGGTGTACACACACATATTTTAAATAGATACTAAACTGTTAAACAGCATCTATTTTGCATTAAGCTGCAACAGTATACTGTCTATATATACTTAAATAGAAAATGATTGTTTAAAATACAGGACACTGGGGCAGCCATTGTGGTGCAGGAGGTTAAACAGACCCATGTGACACATGCAGCCTGTATCGAAGTGCCAGCTTGAGTTCCAGCTCCTTTGCTTCCAATCCAGCACTCCCAGTAGTGCACCCACACAGGCAGGAGATGAAGGCCCAAGTACTTGGTCTCCTGCTACCCATGTAGAGGATGTGTGGTTCCTGCCTCTTGGATTCATCATGGCCCAGTCCTGGCTGTTGCGATGATTTGGGGAGTGAAATAGCAGATGGAAAACCCCTCTCTGTCTCTGTTTCTGTCTCTCTCTCTCTCTCCCCCTATCTGTATCATTTTGCCTTTCAAATAAAAGTAAAATAGTTTTAAAGGAAGATTACTGTACTTTTATTAACCTCTGGATAGAAGGAACGGAAGCAGGAAGTGTCGCAGGTATGAAAACCAAAAGCAGAGGTTTTCATACAAAACAATTGCTTCCTCCCCCTATACTCTTTGAAATAATAATATTCTAATATAAAAGCACAATAATATTTTAGCCAGGGCATACTTTTTTTCTTCCTATGGAAAATGACATTTCATTAAATGAAGATTTAAAAATTTAACTTCCGATTCTTCCTATCTGTGTGACAAACATTATCCTTCATTCAGGACTTAATCTAGCCCTTTGAAAATGCCCTGTTCTTCTTGTTTGCACATTTACTAGGCCTGAGGAAGAAGAATTTGCAGTCTCCCACCCAGAATAACAACTGGAGGGAGCCAGGCTGGGAAGGAAGGACAGTTAAGGAGATGTGATGGTTTATGGTTTTCAGGATTCACAAAGGTGTTGCCAGAACTCAGAACAGCGAGGATGGTTATGACATCTATTTTTATTTCAATTTTCAAGACTGAGTACAGTTTTATATCTCCTTAATAGGGAATTTGTGGGAGCCAGGAACTCAATCCAGGTCTCCCTTGTGGGTGGCAAGGACCCAATTACTTGAGTAATCACTGTTAACTCCCTGGGTCCGCATTAATAGAAGGCTGGAGTAAGGAGCTGAAGCCAGGTATCTAATCCACAGTGTGGGATGCAGGTATCTTAACTGACACCTTCATCACTTGACCAAATGATCACCCATATTTTTTTTAAAGACAGAAAGAAAGGAAGTTGGAAAACAAGTTAAAGAAAAACACAAGAAGACAGAAGTCTATACATTTGTCTCAAGATACTTCATAGAAAGACTTTTTTTTTAAAAAAAGATTTATTTATTTATTTGAAAGGCAGAAGCAGAAAGAGAGAGAGGCAGACAGAGTGAAAGAAGTCTTCTATCTTCTGGTTTACTCCTCAAATGGCCACAATGGCCGGAGCTGCGCCAATCCGAAATCAGGAGCCCAGAGCTTCTTCTGGGTCTCCCACGTGGGTGCAGGGGCCCAAGGACTTGGGCCATCTTCTACTGCCTTCCCAGGCCATAGCAGAGAGCTGGATTAGAAGTAGAGCAGCTGGGACTCAAACCGGCACCCATATGGGAAGCTGGCACTGCAGGCAGCGGCTTTACCCACTGTGCCACAGTGCCAACCCCCATATAGAGACTATTTTATAGGGATGAAAGTCTATTAAAGCACATGAAATTTCTAGTATTAAAAAGCATTAGAAAGGAAACATATAATGAAAACATTTTTTATTTTTGTTTGATGGCATGAAGACTGTTAGTCTCCGGAGTGTTACTGGAAATATGTGCTTGCACTTAGCCACCCAAAAACTCTCTTACCTCATGGCTTAGAAAAAGACCACAGAAACTGTAAAATATAACCCAGTCAGTTTCTCAAAGAATAAATTATAAGGATGTAGCTTAGATGCTATCTAAGGCCCAAAGCAAAAATATTTCATTTAAAATTTTGTTGATAAGTTTTTTGTACAAAATTAAAGCAAGCTAAACTACATCACCACATTTTTAAATGGGAACATTAAAATGTTGTCTTTGTATATTATTTTTATTATTAAATATTTTACAAACTCATTTTATAATATGACAAGTAAAAAATAATGTTACTTTAAAAAACGTCTTGGGGCCAGCGCTGTGCCGCAATGGGTTGAAGCCCTGGCCTGAAACACCGGCATCCCATATGGGCACCAGTTCGAGTCCCAGCTGCTCCTCTTCTGGTCCAGCTCTCTGTTATGGCCTGGGATAGCAGTGGAGGATGGCCCAAGTCCTTGGGCCTCTGCACCCATGTGGGAGACCTGGAAGAAGCTCCTGGCTTCTGGCTTCGGATCGGCACAGCTCCGGCTGTTGTGGCCATCTGGGGAGTGAACCGGTGGATGGAAGACCTCTCTCTTTGTCTCTACCTCTCTATGTAACTCTGTCTTTCAAATAAATAAAATAAATCTTAAAAAAAAAAAAAGTCTTTTCTCCATCCCATCTAACAGTGCACTTGGGAATGTGTCCTTGTAGGCCCTAGCATGCTCAATTGTTTCTACAACAGCAATGAAGTCTTTCACATTTCAAGCTGTGACCACGAACAGGTTGCACAACACACTAGACATACAAAATGCT